AGTTACCCTATAGTAAATTATTAGGGAATAGGCAGTAAATTAGCCTTACTCTTAGTAGTAACTCTACTAATAATATTACTAGGATTAGCTAGGGATTTCCTAACTAAGAAATAGGGGGTTTTCCCTATTTCTATAGTAATTTACTATAGATACATAACATATAATAGAATGAATTAAGTAACTATTATAATCCCTATAATTTAATAATAGTAACTTTAGCTAGTAGTAGTATAATAAAGTTAGTAGTATTTATTATTATTAGTAAGCAGAGAGTTAAAAGTGTATTTTATATTAAGACTTATATTTTTTTTAAAATATACTACTTATAAGGCTTAACTTTAAGTAATAAACTATATAATTAATATATAATATAGATCTTAGAATTATTATAAGGGTTTCTTAATATAGTTTCTATTTTTAGTAACTATATACTAATATATTTAAGTAAATATAACTTGTATTTGTATTATATTTTTCTCTAGACATAATACAATACATGTTAGTGTACATACTAAAAATAGACTTTTAGAAACTAGGATTTAAAGGCGAGGCTTTTACCTAAATAGGAAATAAAAATATAGTTAAATCTAGATTAATAATCTTAGCCTAATGTCTACTTTTATATACTTTTCTATTTACTATATAAGCTAATATATATATATATCTTTTAGCTACACCTAAAAGTCCTTAACACTTATATTAAATTTCTATTTTTTTTATTAACTCTCTGTTAGTAAGAACTTCCTAGTAGTTTTAAGGATATACTTTTTATTAATAAGCTTATTAATTTTAATATTTATACTTTTATTATACTTCTAGATAAATTATACTTTACTTTTACTTTTAGTCTTTTATATATATTATACTTACTACTACTATTTACCTCTTTATTAAGGTCCTAACTAAGGTTACTAGTCTTATACTTTATACTTAAAGTAAGCTTAGTAATACTTTTATTATTAATTACTATAAGGTTAATATTTTTTATAGTTTTCTTAAAAGTTTTCCTTATACTAGTAATAATTTTATTACTACTAGTTATTATTATTATTTAATCTTCATAAAGCTATATCTTCTTTATTAGTCTTTAGAAAGTCTTTATTATAAAGGTTATAGTTCTTTAGTTATTTTAATATACTTCTTTATGACAAATATTATTATCTATACTACTTTAAGTACTTATATTATTAGTATATATAGAGGTACTTTATAATAGTAAGGTAGTATCCTAGAGGGCTTAGCGTTTTTTTTTAGTAAAAGTAATATACTTATTTAAGAAGTTATAGTCCTTAAGCTTATAAAGAAATTACTATAGCTATAGTATAAGGTTATTATAAAACCTTATTAGCTATTAGTATTAGGTTTAGTTACTTTATACCTTAGTATACTTTAAGTAAGATTAAGTAAAAGTATAAATATTATACTACTTATTAATCTTATTACTAGTTAAGTAGTTCTTATAAAACTACTTTTTTACTTTAATTAAGGTTAGTCTAAACTAGTACCTAAATTACTTAAAGATTACTAGCTAACTCTTTACTTAAAGATATCTTACTTTATATTTATAAGTTAGAACTCTTACTAGTTTTATACTTAACGTATATAATAAGCAAGCGCGCCAGACAAGTAAGCGCGCTACTAAACTATAACTATCTAACTATCTAACCTTTCCCTTTTATTCCTCTACTAATAATAATAAAATTAACTTATAATAAAGCCTAGGTACAGCTAGCTGTCTAAGCGTATAAAAAAGATCTAAAACTTAGTATTTAAGCTATAGTAAAGATATATAACGTTAGTTATAATTTAGTAATATATTAATTAAAAGGTATACTATTATAACGTAATATTATACCTAACTTATAGAATTTAATAAAACTTAAAGAGAAAAAGCTAGTTAAGTTTATTCTTAACCTAGATTCCTAATTATTTTCTCTCTACCTTAGTAGTGTTAAAGAAATAGCTAATTAACTACTTACTAACTATAACGTACCTCTAGTTAGTAAGCGCTAGGCCTTAAACTTTATTAAATAAACACTAAAGCTTTAAATACGTTTTTTTTATAAGTATAACTATAAGAAGGCTTAATATAAAAATCTAGATATAATAAACATATAGTTTTATCTTATAGTAAATATAATTATAAAATATAGTATTATAAAGTCTAATATCTATAACTTTAATAAGACTAGCTTAATAATAGGCTAGATTATATCTAGAATAGTTATTATAAGCTCTAAAAGACGTTTAAATATAAAAATAGTGCAGCCTAGAAATTAAGAATAGGTTATAGTTATTTAGGCTATTAGTTTATCTAGTTATAGCGTCCTACTATATATTATTATTAAAGGTAAAAATCTTCTCTCTACTTAGTATATAGAATCTAGTTTTTTACCTAACTAGGTTATTATAATATCTAAAAATAGATAAATATTAAATAAAAAAGGCCTAGATTAGCTTTAATACTTTAATTAATATTTAAAGTTATATATAAAAAAAAATATTACCTTTTTATTATTAATAAGTATAAAAGTTACTATTTTATAGACTTTAAGCTATATTATAAAGAAAATAATATTATTACTTTTTATATACTACTTTATTTATTTTATTTACTTTAGCCCTTAGATATTAAGTATTTTAGGCCTTTAAAGCTAGTATATAGTTAAGAAATTAAGAATAAGATATAATAAGATAATACTTATATTATAAAAGATAACTTCTTTTTAGTATTTTATAACGCCTTTAAGTAAGCTCTTATAGAAGTAAATATTTAAGGAGGCTTTAGAGGGGTAAGGCTTATCCCTTTAAGTCTAGAAAGTATACTATTAAAGCTAGATATTAAGTTATATACTCTAATACCTTTAGGATCCCTTCTAATAACACTACTAGCTTAAACTTCTTAAACACTATATAATATAATAAAGATATCTTTTTAAAGAACTTTTATTAAGGATTACTTTATTAATTATTTAAATAGCTCCTTAATATATAGATTAATAGCTACTAAGTATATTCTTAAAGAAGCGTTAAGAATTATATATAAGAATACTTTATTAAAGGCTAAAGTTAAAACCCTTTATAAAAAGAATAACCTACTTAACTAATATAAAAAGGTAAAAAAAACTTATCTTAAGTAAGGAAGAAGTCTTAGTGTAGCTAATATATAAGATATTTAGTTATAAAGAGAGGTAATAACCTAAATTAAGGAGGAAACGTATTAAAGTAGTAGTTATAGATTAAGGATAAAAATAGGTAAATAGTAGTATAGCACCTATAAGAACGCTAGACATAATATATAAACGTACTAGTTTAATAAAGAAATATCTAAAGAATAGGATTCTAAGTAGTTTAAATTAATTTTATTATTTTATAGTTACTTCTTAGTTATATTTATAAGGTAGCTATAATTAGGTGGCGCGCTTGCTTGTCTAGCGCGCTTGCTTATTATGTACGTTACCTAAAACAAGGGGAAATAATAATCTATGTATTTGCCCCTTTACTAGCTGATTAGTAATAGCAGTAGGCCACAGAGATAGTAACACATAACAGAGTAATTAATTAACGTAAGGTTATTGCTGCTAATTACGCGCTTCAACAATTTCACTGCCTCTCCCCTAACGATTTGCTATAGGGCAACTGGGTATTTGCTAGTTAATTTACGTGTAACTTCGCCAGATTAGACAACATGCAACTTCGCTATATATAACAGTTACACATACAATAGAACAATTAATTGACACAGGTAATCGCCGCCAATTATACGCTTTAACAACATTGCCCACTTTAACAGATTTCACCATAGTTACACACAACACATCATATAATCAACCAATCAACCATTACAATCCCTATGATTCAACAATCATTACAGTCCCTACAATTATACAAGTAACAACAGCTACTATGTAAACCTGTGGACGGCTAAAGCCTCAAATATGATTGGCGAATGAGCGGGAGATATTAAGGCTTATACAGAAGGGGACGCGGAAACTGTGGTTTTGGGGCGAATTGGAGCGTCTGGGTCCCGCGGCTTGGCTAGTGATGATGCGAGGTCAGGGGTCTCAAGGATCTTAGTGAACGCGTACTGGGTACTGAGGGCTACTAAGCCACATATCTAAGGTCCCTCTTGAGGTTGCACAGGTCCCTACACAACAATACATATACTTGTGTGTCCAGACGAGGGAATGAACCCTGTGACACTAGGCGGCAGCTTTTTTATTTCTCTTAGGGGCTGCCTGAAAGCCATGATGAGGTCTAGCTGTAAGTTGGCATTAGGTACGCGCAACCAAAGAAAAGCCGAAATGGCGAAAGTAATTACGGTCCAGGAAATGACTTGAAACTGTCTGGTTGAGGCAGTGATATGACCACATTAACACCCCTGTGGAAAAATCGGAAGCATAGGGAGGGAAAACAGGGAGAGAGCGAGAAACACCGGGGGGCCGGAGAGCGCGATGAGGTCAAGTGCCGTATTGCCGGGGCGGGGCGGCGGGTTACACTCTCGGGTGAGGCATTTTAGGAGACGGGGGGAACCTGTCGCGACATCAGCCCTGTGCGGCGGCTGTGCCTGTGCCAATACGGAGTACTGCGTCTGTGAATGTATATGCTTGTCTCATAGTAGAGATCAGACACTACCTGTTCCCCCTGCACTCTATCCCTAATCTTACAATTCTCCGGCGATCTTCCCCGCAGAGCTTCCAATAGGCGCAGGCTGTTGCTCCCACGAATACATGCCGCTGGATACTGTCCACAAATTGCTCGAGCGTCGTATAATTATTATTATTAGTGACACCCACCGCTTTTCACTGCCGGCACCTCCTCCCGTTTATTTGTTCTGTCGAGCGCTCAGCCTTTTCCATATATCTACCACACCCTCCATCGCCCCCGTTTGGATTTCTGTTCCCGGTGTGGCAATATATACCGCCGCCCTGTTTTTCTTTGTCTTTTTTTCTTTCTTGTCGGTTTAAACCAAATCCCCAAAGGGTAGCTTGATACCAACCATGTTGCTCCTACCCCTGCTAGCAACAGCTGCCACCGTCGCCCCGGTGTGGGCGGCTGGTCCCGTGACGCCGATGGCAGCCGGCATGAACGCTCTGGACCCCCGAACTCTCCCGAACTCCCCCTCGGGAGGCTACGCCCCAGCCATTGTCGACTGCCCGGCAGTCAGTCCTACTATCCGCTCTGCGCTGGCCCTATCGCCTAATGAGACGGCATGGCTCACAAACCGACGGAGTGCTATAGTTGAGCCATTACGGGGCTTTCTCACCCGCGCCAACATCCCTGATTTTGATGCTGGCGCCTATATTGATGGCCTTAGCTCGTCGCCGTCCCAGTTGCCTAACGTCGCTATTGCTATATCAGGGGGTGGGTATCGCGCTCTTATGAACGGCGCTGGCTTCCTAGCGGCTGCAGACAGCCGCACGCCCAGCTCTACATCTGCTGGCGGCATCGGCGGCCTGCTACAGTCAGCCACCTACCTATCTGGTCTCTCTGGCGGCGGCTGGCTTATAGGCTCTCTCTTCTTTAACAACTTTTCCTCAGTAGTCGACCTACAGCAGAGCTCTGCCGTCTGGCGATTCGACAACTCTATATTTACTGGACCTAAGAAGCACGGCCTCTCTATCTTCAACACAGCCACGTACTGGAAAAACATTATTAGCCAAGTCGACAGTAAGGAGAAGGGATTTATAGTGTCTGTCACAGACTACTGGGGCCGCGCCCTCTCAAATCAGCTTATTAATGATCTTGATGGCGGCCCAGCCTATACCTTTTCCTCTATTGCCGAATCCCCCGACTTCCAGGCTGGCGCCCAGCCGTTCCCTATCCTAGTTGCTGATGGCCGTGCCCCTGGCGAGCATATTATCTCACTTAACGCTACTGTATATGAGTTTAACCCTTTTGAGCTTGGCACCTGGGACAACACGGCCTTTGGCTTTGCACCCCTTCCCTACCTTGCCTCTAACTTTACTAATGGCAGTATTACTGCTGGCGGCTCTTGCGTTCGCGGCTTTGATCAGGCTGGCTTTGTTATAGGCACCTCATCCTCCCTCTTCAATCAGTTCCTCCTGAGGAACCTCTCTACATCCGAATCTGAGCGTATCCCTGAGTTCGTCCAGGGCGCCCTTAGGAAGATCCTTAAGGTCATTGACGAGGACGACAAAGACATTGCGCCATACGTGCCGAACCCCTTCTTCGGCTGGAACCCAAGCACCAACCCTACTGCCAACTCTTCTCAGCTGACCCTCGTTGATGGTGGGGAGGACCATCAGAATATCCCACTTCAACCGCTAATCCAGCCAAACCGCGCAGTCGATGTTGTTTTTGCTGTTGATTCCACGTCAGACACTACCTTCCACTGGCCTAATGGTAGCGCCCTACGCCACACCTACAACCGCGCTGCTGAGCCTATTGCGAACGGGACGCTCTTCCCGCCTGTCCCTGACGCTAATACCTTCATCAACCTTGGCCTGAACCGCCGCCCAACCTTCTTCGGCTGCAATGCCTCTAATTTCACCCTTAGCAGCGACCAACACCTGCCCCCCCTCATCGTCTACATCCCCAATGCGCCCTATGTTGCCCATTCTAATGTCTCCACTTTCGACCTTAAATACAACCTTGACCAGCGCGACGCAATCATCCAGAACGGCTATAATGCAGCAACTCAGGGCAATGCTACCCTCGACGAGGAGTGGCCTGTTTGTGTCGCCTGCGCTGTCCTTTCGCGCAGCATGGAACGCGCCCGCCAGACTACGCCGACGGCGTGCGCCAGCTGCTTTCAGCGGTACTGTTGGAACGGTACTCTCGACACGCGCGACCCCCCCGAGTACGAGCCCAACTTTGCTATTGGGGCCTAAAGCCTCGCCGGGAGGGCGGGCGCCGCGGGCGCTGCTTCGGCGGCTCTGGGGTATGCTCTAACAGGCCTGTGGAGGCAGGCTGAGGAACAACTAAGTGCCTAGGTGGTTGTTATTAAATGGTAGGGATTGTAATGGTTGTTTGATTGTGCTGTCTTCTCTATAACTATAGTAAAATCCTGTAAGAGCAGGGAAATCCCCCTATTTCGTAGTTAGGAAATCCTTATAAAGTTATGAATAATGAAAACTAAGTATAGTAGTAAAATATATAATATAGTTAAGATTAAGCTTAATGTTTTTTATAAATAACTATAGTAAAGTTAAGATTAAGAAGTACTAACTAGGCCTTACCTACTTTATTATATAAAAAAGTAAAGTAGGTTAATTCTAGTTTAACTAGATCTATAGTAATAGTATTTATAACTTTTACTAAATAGTTAACTATACTTAGAACTATTTTAAGATAAGAATTAATAAGAGGGCGTTATATATTAATATAAAGGCGTTACTTTTATAGAGGCGTTGTCTTTTATCTTCTTAATTGGCTTAAAAATTAGTATACCCTTATAAAGGTAGTAAAAACACTTTTACTAACACTTTTACTATTTTGATATACTATTATCTAATTAGCCTATATAGCTATAAGAAATAGGCTTTATAAGGGGTCTTCTTTATAGCTATAAGGAATAAGCTCTCTAAGAGGTAATCTTTATAGCTATAAAGATTATCCTCCTTATAGATTCTTTTTCTTATAGCTATAAAGATAACCTTCTTTATATATTTTTCTTAATAGCTATAATAATTATCCTCTTTATAAAGCCCTTTTCTTATAGCTAAAAATAGTACTTTTTTTCTTATTTAAGTTTTATAAAAGTATATTACTTATTACTTCTTTATATAAATCTTAAATAAGGCTATATAGCTAAGTAGCTTTATATTATAGCTAGTTTCTAGATAGTAAAGTTTCTACTAATAGTAAGTAAAGGTTAATACTTATTTAATAGTTATATTATTCTTATTATCTTATTAATTACCTAGTAATTAGTTATAAAGTTAAGGTTATAAGGTAGCTTATATAGCTTCTTATTAATTAAATTACTAAGATTAAATACTGAAGGAATTTTAGAAAATATATTATAAGTTAATTACTAAAGAGCTATAGAAGTCTATCCTTAAGTACGTCTTAGTCTATTCTATATATAAGTCCTAGCTATTCCTTAAATAGTTTCTTTAACTAACGTACATAATAAGTAAGTTAATTAGATAAGTAAAGTAATTAGCCTACTATAATTATAGTCTCTTCTTCCTTTTACTATACGTCTAACTACTAAAGATAATATATTTACTAAATAATAAAGCCTAATTACTCTTAGCTATTAAAGCTATCTAAGGACCTTATAAAACTAGTATTTAGGCTATATTATATATCTATTTAGTACCTTTCTTTATATTATATAACTATCTTAATAAAAAACCTTTATAATATAACACTATAGCTAACTTATAAATTTTTAAAAGAAGTTAAAGAGAGAAAGCTAGTTAAGTTTATTCTTAACTTAAATTTCTAATTATTTCCTCTCTAGCTTAGTAGTATTAAAGGAATAGCTAATTAACTACTTACTAACTATAATATATTACTAGTTAGTAAGCGCTAGGCCTTAAGATTTATTAAATAAACACTAAAGCTTTAAATATATTTATTTTAGAAATATAACTATAAGAGAGCTTAATATAAAGATCTTAATATAATAAACGTATAGTTCTCCTTTATAGTAAAGATAATTATAAAATATAGTATTATAAAGTTAAAATATTTATAACTTTAATAAGACTAGCTTTATAATAAGCTAGATTATATCTAGAATAGTTATTATAAGCTTTAAAAGGTGGGCTCGATTATAGCGTCTAAGTGTACCTTAATAGGGGTTGCCCGTGGAAACGGCGACCTAACTAGGTTATATAATATCTAAAAATAAATAAATAATAAATAAAAAAGGCTTAAATTAGCTTTAGTACTTTAATTAATATTTAAAGTTATATATAAAAAGATAATATTATCTTTTTATTTTTAATAAGTATAAAAGTTACTACTTTATAAATTTTAAAGTACTTTTTTAAAAAAATAATATTATTACCTTCTATATACTTCTTTATTTTTTTATATTTACTTTAGCCTTTAGATATAAAATACTTTAGGCCTTTAAAGTTAATATATAGTTAAGAAATTAAGAATAAAATATAATAAAGTAATACTTATAATACTAAAGATAACTTCTTTTTAGTATTTTATAACGCTTTTTAGTAACCTTTTATAAAAAAAAACATCCAAAGAGGTTTTAAAGGGTTAAGGATTATCCCTCTAAGTATAAAAAGTATACTATTAAAGCTAGATATTAGCTTATACACTCTAACACCTTTAGGTTCCCTCCTAATAACACCTTTAGCTTAGACTTCTTAAATACTATATACTATATTAAGGATAAATTCTTAAGAAACTTTAATTAAGGATTACTTTATTAATTATCTAAATAGCTTCTTAATATATAGTTTAATAGCTACTAAGTATATTTTTCAAGAAGTACTAAGATATATATATAAGAATACTTTATTAAGAGCTAAGGTTAAAAGCCTTTAAGAGGAGAATAACCTACTTAACTAATATAAAAGAACTAAGAAGATTTACTTTAGATAAAAAAGAAGTCTTACTATAGCTAATATATAGGATATTTAGTTATAGAGAGAGGCTATAGCCTAGGTATAAGAGGAAATATGTTAAAGTAGTAGTTATAGACTAAGGATAGAAATAGGTTAATAGCGTTATAGTACCTATAGGAACACTAAAATTAATATATAACCGTATTAGTTTAATAAAGAGATATCTAAAGTAGAGGATTCTAAGTAGTTTAAATTAATTTAACTATATTATTATTAGTTCTTTATTATCTTTATAAAGGAGTTATAGTAAGCTAATTACTTTACTTATCTAATTAACTTACTTATTATATATATTAATAGTTATAAGTAATTACTATTCTTATATAAGGTAAGTACTTAGTAAATACTAGTAAGTACTTATTTTTATAATTACTAGTAATTACCTTATTTTATAATTACTTCTTTATTCTTATATATCTTATATTATAGTTTTTTTAATTTTAAAAAGTTATTTATTTACTTTTTATTTTCTATTTATATAAATACTATTACTACTTACTATTTACTTATTAAGTAAGGTAATATAGCTTACTATATATATATAGTATGTTTTATATATCTACTTACTTTTTTATTATTTTAATAAGTAATTAATATATAGGCGCTATAAATTAATATATAGGCGCTATCTTTATATAGGCACTACTATATATACCTCTAATTAGTTTAAAACTTTATTATTAGTATAACCTAATTTTACTAGACTTACTAGAGGTAACTTATTCTCTTAACTACTTAGTTAATTTAATTTTTATCTTATTTATATTATATACTTATTATAGCTTTAAATTATATACTAAGGTAGCTAACCTAACCTACTTACCTTACTAGTATAAGTTATATTCTTAAAAAGTAGCCTTTACCTAATTATAAGTAATATCTATTATCTAGTAACCCCTTATTATCTCCTTTATTAGAATATAGCTATCTTAGTATTAGCTAATCTTATAAGGTTAGTAATCCTTAAAAGTAGCATAACTTTATTATTAAGCTTCTAGCTAACACCTTATAAGATATATAACCTTTTTTATACTATAAACTATATTACTTTAGTTTAAAGCCTATAGTTTACTTTATATACTATTTCTCTTATAAAATAATAAAAACCTAGAAGACTACTTTCTTATACCTCTCTTTAAAGCCTAGTGTTTTTTCTTTAAATAAATAGTCCTAATAACTTTTTTATCTTACTATATAGTAGTTTAATAGTACTTTTTAACTAATTTATTAAGTTATTAGGACTAATTAATAGCTAACTATTTTACTTCTTTAATAATAAGACTTTATTTATTAATAGTAAGTAAAATAAAGTCCTTAAGTTAATTTATTACTATATTTACCTTAATAATAATTCTCTCCTTAAAGTAAAGTGTCTTTTAAAACTATAGCCTTATACTACACCTAAAGTAACTAATTCTTTTTTCTATAAGTAAGATCTTAAACCTACTAATCCTTAGTAACCTAAAAGAAATAGTTAATACCTTCTTTAATTAAGTAAATACTTTTATAAGGGCTAATAGGTTTAGTATTATAAAGTAAAATAGATAGAAAGCCTAAGGTTAATTTAAGTAATACACCTTTTAGTATAATTAGTTTAGAAAGCCTAGGCCTAGTAAAGGTGCTAGTATTTAACAGTATAAGTCCTAAAAGAATAGCTATAAATAGTAAATAATTATAAAAGCTCTTAAAGAGGGGAAATAGCTATTATATTATTATTAAGACCTTTAGTATAGTTAGTATAACTATAGCCTTAGCCTTAAGGTATTTATATATTTATCTTATTATAGGCTTACCTAACTTATAATAAATATAATTAATTTAATAAGCTAATAAGTTAGTATCTAGTGTTATAACCTAATAAGTTATAGGCTATATTACCTTACCTAATACACAGATAGTAACTAGTAGTAGTAT